GGCGGCATTCTCATCCATCTGGCCGCCAGTTGGACTCGCATGCTTCGGTCTTCATTGTAGAGAATAACTTTGAAGTGGTATGTCCGGATGAATTTGAGGCTAGGTTTTGGGCTAGCTTGACCATTGGCAAGTACGTACAGTGCACAGATTTTGAGGCTAGATTTTGGGCTAGCTTGACCATTGGCATGTACAGTGTACAGTGTACAGAACAGTGAACAGTGCACAGTGCAGTGTTAAGTGAACGGTACTGTGTACGGTGTGCAGTATGGCGCAATGTGCAGTGTGCAGCTACAGCGAACAATATAGTGCACAATTAAAGTGTCCAGTGTGCATTATGGTGCACAGTATAGCGTATAGTTACAGTGTACAGCTTGCAGCAAGGTGCAGTGTGCAGTTTCAGTGCACAGTACAGTGTACGGAATTGTACAGTACAGTGAACAGTTAAATTATGCAGTGTGTAGTTGACTGTGGAGTGTACGGGGTTATGGCCGCCTAGAGCTGATACTGTATTTAGTCAACTTAGGAGCTGCCTCCCCAGCTTTCCTCAAGCAAGGCCAACACAATCAGATGTTAAGCGCACGATGTCGTACTTTTGACGGGGTTGCACGAAGACCACTTGGAAAGGTGAAACGCGTTAGTATGCTCACAAAACAGACCAGGAACAAGTCAGTGAACAAGGTCGTTAGTACACCACGGCGGGAACAATCAAGTGAGGCAAGGGAAGTGTATATGACCCTCACATTGATCAAAAAGGAGAGCAGCCATTGCAAAACATTCATCCTGCTCCAGCATTCTTCTTTGTTGGATGTTCGTCACCTTGGGTACGGTAGCTCACATTCACACCCGTGCCCTGCACCCCGTAGCGCCTGCCCCGGTAGACTGTACCGGTGAACACAACAACGAGGCGGAACAGTGTGTGCAGGCGCGCGGGCTGCCGGCAGCTGGAAATGAAGGCCCAGCCGTCGCTGGTGCGTCACAATCACGGGACCGTCCGTGGTCAGGGATGAGGCCATGCAGCGCTTTATTCTTTGTGTGCATTTCGAATGGGGCCAGGATCAATGACAGGGCGACTGGTATGCGGATGCCCCAAAGCTTTATGTTCACTGCGATGACAACGGTCAGAAAATACAGGTTAGAAGCAGATGAATGGGGAAAATTCGGGCTGCGCAGGTCGGTTGACTAAATTTACCCAAAGAAGTGCATGGTGCACATGATTTCGATGTTTGCATTAATAGAGCTCCTACGCCTTAGAAAACAGCTTTGTGATAACTAGTGTAGTAACATCATGGACATTTTCGTAGTACTGTAATTATGAAAAAACATCACCTACTTTTGCAAACGTTTGTCATGCTTTTTGCGCACACCCGAATGTTTATTGCTGATGCGGTCTTCCAAAACACGGAGAAGGGTGCAGCTTAGCGCTGAATCACATGACTTTGATTAAAACCCTGATATTTCGCAAAATGACGGACAAATTGCTCCCTTTTCAGACCATAGCCTGCGTTTCACAAGACAACCGCGTCTAACGGTCTTCATGTGCCCTGTGATGTAGAATGGGCGTTCTGCTCCTTGAATGCACGCTTAATGGGACGCCTCACGACACCCGCTTTATCGCATCCGGTTCTGTCAAATCATGTCTGGTATAAGTGAACACTGAGTGAGATTCGGGGGCCTCGCCATCTGGTTATCCTCCCCCCCCCCCTCCCAACCGCCACCCCCGTTCCTCCCTCGCTGGGACGGGAGGGTTGATAAGATAATACATTTGCCATTTATCTTTGACGTGTCAACACTGTTAACAAATGATCCCCTGTCCTGGGTTTATCCACGAACATTGTTTCCATACGCCTCGGCAATTGAACGTAAATGGCCTTGAGACATCTGCAGCTTTTAGTTACCTGTCGCGAAACCCACATGTTTTCATGCTGTCGTCTCGCCCGCACCCTCTATTGCCCATTGGCTGTCACTACAACAAATCATAATCGCGGTGCAGGAGCGCTTTTATTAGCCTCATAACTATCAAAATGCTATCAGTGCCTGCAACACGAACACGCTCACAAGCATTTGCGCGAAAGGAACGTCCATCACGCGCGACAAAACTGCTGGGAGCTGTGTGCTACCTACAGCGCCGATTGGTATTGCACATATTGTAGAACGAGACGGTAACAAAATTGCCTTTATTTTATCAGACAATTTTTCGATAAATTCCCCAAAGCTGCGATAAGCAAAAGATAAACTTAAAACATGTCAAATGTATCACTGAATCGTTTTAGATGTCGAAAGCCTGTTGCCGTCAAGTTATTATCTGCCTAAAAATAGACTTTTTCTCCGACTTCAAAGCCAGAGAAGTGATCTATGCGTCAAAACCAGACTAACAGTTCCGCAGGAAGGTTTGAGCCACAGCTGTGCCCCTGTCCCTGTTCATTCTCCGCCGCGTACTTGTGTGGCCATGGAAGAGATGCGCACACATCGACAGCCCTGCTGTGTGCTGTGACAACAGCGGGGCTGGCTGAAGAGCTGCTAAACCCCATCCCACCCCCCTTCCCTGGGGACCCGGCGCAGGCAGCGTGCGGGGCGGCCGTGTCTGGTCCCAAACACCCACCTTGGCGGCGAACTCCGATGACATCACACGCCGCGACAGAAAGCGGCTCATCGTAGGTTGACCTAGTCATAGGTCGAAGCTAATTGAGCGATTCCCGAAATGGTCGCGTAGTGAGAGGCAGGGATGACTGCGCATGCTAAACTGAAGAAAACACAATCTGACAAAATTACCGAGCGTTCCGCGAGATCAGAGATGGATAAGGTCTAGGGCCAATAAAAAAGCTAATAAGATGCGGTCTGGCTGCCAATTTAAAGCAGTGATTGTGTCCACGAAAAACGTGACTGGGATATAATGGCCGCCACGCAGTTTCAGAGCTGTATTGTTACGAAGATCATCTCTTTGTGTGCTTAGCCATGGATGGGATTGGTGCAATGTGTGTACGTGAAAGATAAATAGGTTTCACGAACGGTTATTGTTCGCATGCGTGGTCAAAGTGAATGGCCCGTCAGCTGGCATTAGTTTCAAGTATGCTTGAAAAGTCTCGTGGGATTTGCCCAAAGGCTCAGTTGAATCTGGGCACAAACTGGCCTAAAAAAGACTTATCAGACTGGTACTTAGTCCCTCTATATGCCCAGCACGGGTCTTTGCTAAAAAAAAAAAATTGTGAGGTCGCACCAGCTAAACCACAGTGTTCACTGATCACGTGATTGATCGCAAATCGATGAACCAGTGTTCACTGGTCACGTGCCTGATCGCAAGTCGGTGAATCACAGTGTTCACTGATCACGTGACTGATCGCAAGTCGATGGAACAAGTCGTGTGATTCAGCGCATGTACAAGCATGCACACGACGTGCACGCTCCGTCGTTGTCACCGAGCTTTGTTACTTTGGCCAGTCATCGCGCGACGCCGTGCAGGGTGCTTCATTTGTCTTTGTTGTGTCAGGTGTAATTGACGTATTCAGGTGTAATTGACGCCTATTACATTAGCATGCAGAGGAAGTCGGGAAGGAAAGACCTAGGCTATTGAATAACTCTGAACGTCCGACATGCTGGTCATTACACTTACATCGCGAACGCATTGGGATTCTGAGGCGTGACAGGACATCAACTCAGTCAACATTTACAATCAACCGGTTCTATCAAAGTCCAAATCAACGAATGTACAAGGTGGACAGCCACGAAAGCAGAATCACTCCATTCAGTGGAGTTCATTTAATGCCAGCTCGACTCCGAGAGCAATGTGCGCTCAGCGCGCATCCCTCAGGAGAACGCGACTCATGTCTTTTACAGTCGTTTATAGGGCACCAGTGACTTCAGCCGAAATATTCACATTAGCGCCCACGGATTGTCGCGCGCAGCCGGCGCTAGAGTCCGGGTGCTCCGTGCGGGGCCTACATTATAACCACGAGACGATCCGGCTGTCTCCGTGGGCTCCCGGCTGACCGACACCCACGGAGATTGATGTTACGGTCAAGGGCCGTTATCCGCAGCGATATCTGATTACAAAATATAGCGGCCAGAACAGAAGCTCAGACCAACAGCCATCCTATCAGGTCGACTGACAACTCAGGCCGCTTTACTAGGTCACAGCCCCCCCCCCCCCATCTCCCCCGGACAGTAGCCCAGGCTGTTTCACGACAGCTCATGATGCCGGACAACTGGTCAGACCGCTCGACGATAGCTCTGGTCGCCGGACAGGACCTCAGACCGCCGGACACCAGCTCAGGCCGCCCGACAGCGGCTTAGCTGCTGGCTCCCAATGACGCCTGTGGCCGGCGGACTGAGAAAGAGGCCACTTGACAGCCGTTCAGACTTCCGGAAGCCAGCTCAGGCCACTCCAGACACCAGCTCGGGCCGCCCGACAGTGGGCCGGGGCGCCAAATATTCTGAGTTACCTGCCATGTATTGCGCATGTCCTTCCCACGATATCGACCATCAGACCCCACAGAATATTAAATATCATGTCTCATACATTATCGACTACCATCATTCACATACCATTGGTATCCTTTGTTACGAAGGCGTTTGGCGTGAAATTTTCAAAACATATCAGATGCTCCGGTAACTTGCGAAGTGATATAGTGAGCCCCAGGCAGTTGAAAACAATTGTCTCCAACAAAAGGTCTCTTGGTGCCGGAAACGGTAAAGAACAATTTGAAACCAATTGTTATTTTAACAGTTCTGCACGTTTTTGTTATGCACACGCCGAGACATTTTTGAATGCTTTATAACGCGGCGTGCCGCAACCGCATTGTTTTCGCGAACACGGCTAAGGTCACAATTTAGCGTCCGTCATGTATGGTGGGTATGTCAACAAGCTTCAAGTTTGCATTGAGAAGACGGTTTGGTAATGACTCAACCGTGCTTTGATGAGATATCCCGCCACATACTGGTTACTGTAAACGTCGTCTGGCGACCACATTTCCCAATAAGTAACCGCGTCCTTCTGTCTGTTTCAGTGGCACGGTCCACTGGCATAAGATGCTCCAGCTGGCTTCTCATGTGACCGCACTTATCATTATATGCCTGTCTTCTACCGGAGGTAAGTTACGCGTCTTGTAGCGGAGCCCGACTTGCTGGCGCCGGCTAGCTTTTGTTTTAAGTGGCTTTTGCTGCAGTTGCATGTCGGAATATGACGTTTGATAATTGTTCGCCTTTAACGACTTAATGCCTTGTCAAGGTAAAAATTGCTACTTAGTTAATGACGCCAGACAGTGTATGAAGATGATGGCGAGCATTCAGGCAGCATTTAACACCTTGCGGCGGAACGTGGGTAGAATTATACAAAAAATTCATAGATTCCGTGTGTAAGATATGATCAGGTACTCCACATGTTGTTGAGCTTAATGTGCGCTTCATTATCGGTTTTTCAGAGCAATGTTTTCCCTGCCTTGTAACGACGACGCTGAGTAATGGACGGGTGACAGTATCCAGCGAAGTTTTCCTTTCCATTCATCGCCAGAGTTACCTGTGGTGTTCGTTTTCACATTCGAACCGAAATACCCACCATGCGCTGGTTTCTAAGTCAAACGCTCTGTAAAGCGTCAAGTGAGCTAAACGCCATAGGATGGAAGTAATGGTACCTGAAAGCTACCGATGCGTTTTTATTTATGCAGCAATAATCTGACCTGTAAAGTGCCGATGTATTGCTATTCATGCACCAATTTTTGAAGTGGTCTTTATAAATGAGCGCGAAACGTAAGCTAAAGCCTTTATTCCGCGCAGGCGACGCCTTGCTCGCTAAGCCTCATCGCGCTCTCTGATCAAGACACGCGACTGCATTTCCGGGAAACACTGATCTGATCAAAAGGCCCCCGGTAGCGCGGCCGCCGAAGCTCAGAACCCGTTTCTATGCAGTTCTCTTGCTCTTTTGTGGACTGCAGGGAGTCTCGTTAAAGACTGAATTTTAAGATTCTTTTGTTCGCCAGGAGGATGTCAGCTTCCGATCGGACGATGCCAAACTTGTGGTGTTGCTAGGAATGGAAACCAATAGAGGCAGATCCTCTTAAGCAAACCGGTGAATCAACATTTCTGAAAAATATGAATTCGTCATGATATTTAATCAGCCACGTAATCTATTGATATTTTATCTTTGCACTATGCGTGCATGGATCTACAGCGTCCTGGATTCGGCGCAGATAAAAAACATAAGCGAAGTTAAATCTCGTGAATTTTGGACTAACGAATCGACGCCCTCGGGAACAGAACACAGCTTTGGTGTTTAATAGTACATTTCCCTTCAAATTTGGATAACAGAATTTTGTCATATCTTATGGTAGGGGCAGCACATATGCCTCGCAGCTTACAACGAACGCGATGCGAGTCCCTGTACGTATCTAAACTTGACTTGCCTTTCGTCATTTATCGATCATGTTTGTTGTGATCCTGGCCCGCTGCGATGCACCCGGGTCGCCGTCAATCAATCACGGCCTGTGACGTCACCGGGTCCTGGTACGACTGTGGCTTGAGGCGGTGGGCGCGAGCGGGACGACGCCGACTGTGGCTTGAGGCGGTGGGCGCGAGCGGGGCGACGCCGACTGTGGCTTGAGGCGTTGGGCGCGAGCGGGACGACGCCGATTGTGGCTTGAGGCGGTGGGCGCGAGCGGGCGACTGTGGCTTGAGGCGGTGGGCGCGAGCGGGACGACGCCGACCGTGGCTTGAGCGGTGGGCGCGGGAGTGTCGGTAAGGCAGCCGGCCAGACACGAGGGACGGCCCACCATTCGAATGGCGTGTCTGCGTGTCTGCGTGTCTGCGTGTGTGCGTGTTTGCGTGTCTGCGTGAGGCTGTCAACAATGCAAAGTCAATACAGCGAGGTCCTTTGATTTAAACCTTACTGGTTTAATGGCGGAGGGGCAATATAGCAAGTTCCTCTGGTTAACGTGATATTTTCATCGTGGAACAGTATAAAAGCAATGCGCTTTGGGTCATATGAACAGCTGCGCTACTAACGCAATAATACGTTATTTATTTTAGAACTCCTGCACTCACTTAACTCTTCTAGGAATAGATATCTGTGATGGAGGGATAACGGTTGCAAAAAGAGAGTAGAGAGGTTCTTTGACAAGGACCTGAGGAAAAGCATCGAACACTCCGCCAGCACGCATGACATCACGAATTCCAGCTGACATGCTTGCCAACAACAGATCGAACGCGGCCCGACACATGTCGTGTTATGTAAGCAAAAATCTCGAGTGAAAAAGAAAACGGTGCTCTTATAAAACCTGCTTCAAATTAGTATCATCAAATGTTGGTGCACACCATCTTTGACAGAGGAGAAGTGGGATAAGGGAGAGATAAGGGAGTCATGAGGCATAGTTAGCATACTCTTGCTTCCCTATTGTCCCAAAAACTGTGCGTGTTATAGCAGCCAAAAAGTGAATCGATCTCGCATTGCCTCATATTTTACTAGATATATTGCTTAACAATTTATTTTTCTGGACATATGGCGTTGCGATGTGCAAATCAGCACACTCGCACGTAATGACACGTGTTTGCATACTCGTCACTATAGGCAGCTGCGGTAAAAAATGATTCATGCGAGGTTCAGAGCACTGGAGGACAGAATAACGCAGGCTGAGCGTGGTGCGCGTTCAGTGATGACCGACAGCATGCTCAGCAGTGCGTGTTATTGATAAAGGATGGGAGACTAAACTGGCATGTGTAGACTAGAGAAGACTACAATGCGTCTGGAGAAGTAGCCAATGTGTAATAGTGCGCTCACTGTTGTCTCTGTTTTTGAATGTTTGCCTTTATCTTACATCTGGTGTTTCTGAAAGGTTCCCGGAGCTGCTGCATCCTTGGAAGCCATCGACTGAAAGCTCACTGAATTCTGTTACCACACGTTTCAAGTAGCATTGAGCTCTTCGAAGCTTCGTAACAAGCTGCTACTCTGCCTGGAGTAGAACGTTGACAACTACGGAATAATATGATCTGGGGCAGAGATATGAAGATTGTGAAACTATTGGAGATCACTCACTTTTTAAACGATAATATTTCGACCATTCCACAACACTACATTCTTGTCACTGCCAGGTGTCCAGTCTGTGATGTTTCAGTATCGCTCGGGTATTCCTGTGTCGCTGCGGTGTCGCAGTCCAGCACTACGGCGACCGTACCGTCGTGCTGGATACCGCACCGTTCCAATACCGTCGCCGCCCTACCATCTGGTCTCGCGTCCGTTCCAGAGCCGATGCTGCTGGGTGGACGGCCAACAGCTGGCCTGGACGGCCTGGACCAACTGATTGGCGGCGCCGCGCCCGGTCCAGGTACTTCACACACACGCCCTGACCCTCCGCGCTGCTCTGTGGCGTACAGCGATACATAGGGTAGCTTATGAAGGCTGCGATCCAGGCATCGCATACCTGCTTCGAACAGCAGAGAGATGTCTCAGGATAAGGGTGCGGTGATGTCAAGTGATTGTCATGCCTTTTGGGCATGGGATTGTAATGTGATACTTGACGTGACGCTGCATCATGGTGACACGAACCCATGCGACGCGTCGCACCAGCCCTGCGTCTGACCGGACCAGTTCATGAGGCTCTCTCGCAGTCATGAACAATCATCTTACATACGAGCCGCTATACTCAATCTCCATGCACGGTAGTATTGACGCTCTCAGGTCCGTGGATGTTACTCCAGCACAAAAATCGTAATTGACACGGCTGTGAAAAAAGATTCGAGCATGCCAGAACATGTTGGAGTGTATTCAGGCCGGTGTCATGCATGCCTATGGGGTTTGGAGCATATGCCTCAATTCGTGCGTGCTGATTTAGCTTAGAAGTGTTCCTAGTCAATATGTCACTGGACATCTTCTTGTACCGAGGTTATCTTATCGAGAATATCTTCTTGTACCGAGGTTTCACGAAATTTAGTCACAGAAGGCGGCCGCTCCAAACAAATAGGTCCTTGGTTAAAAGCGCCAGAAAAGTTGTATCTACTTCTCATTCATATTCTTTAAGTCGTCTCCTTCCCAAGCCTTTGCACGTCACACGTAGAAACGTTTTGGCTGTGATATGGGCCGTATCAAAGACGACTGATACCTCCAAATACCGCGGTCCTGGTGTAGGCAGCCTGAAATATGGCAGCACTCTGGTCATAACGTGACATCGAGACCACTGAGCAAAGCATTGGAGGGGCACTAGCGCCTCCCCCTCCCCCCCCCCCCCTGCTCCCGTCCGCCGCGTGGGCCGTGGCGGCGAGCGGCGTCGATCGTCTGACTGTGTGTGTTTGCCGCAGTGGGCAGCAGGCGGGGCCCGCGCTGGCCGGCCGGTCTCTCTCGGCCCGGCTGGGGGTCCGGCTACCCGCCGCCCAGCGGCGCCGACGACGTACCCACCTGGTGAGAGGACGGCGCGGGGCGACGCCGTGGGTGGGGGCAGCGCGCGAGGCTCGCGGGCAGACAGCGCTTAGCAGAGACTGCCGGAAATGCTTGCAGCACGCAAGTCACGCAGCCGCGCAAATATTTACGAGACGTTTGCATGATTCCCCGTCCAACTACCGAATGTGCGTCGTCAAAATTAACGAGTAGAGTGGCGTGGCAGACGTAAGAGATGTTTATGTGTGTGTGTGTGGGCGAGTGCGTGTGCGCATGTGTACCAATGGCATGGTGTTCTTTGAATGACATTACATTTTCTTGGCTTGTTGTGACATGGGTGCCAATATGATCTAGCTTGCAACATGGACGGCGTTTCACTCAACGCATCGACCAGGACGGGCTAACAAGCAGAGCTTATCTATGAGCTGAGCCACCCAGCAAACAATGCAGATAGCGTGTGCTACTTATGGTGCCCACAGTGTACACCGTATTTTAGAACGTATGCTAGTTGTTGCGCATAGGTGGCACGAGTCGCGTTTGTCGCTGCGTTTCCTGGCGAGCCGAGGCAGGAAGCGCAGGTAGCAGATACTGAGCGAGTCAACGGCTTAGCTTTAATAAGTTTTAGTGAGTATAAAAGCTCGTCCAGTCCGCCTCGAGGTGCTGGACCGGCTTTGACTCTCCTGCGGCAGCATTCGTTAGCTCGAGGCCTGCTGCGCAATCTCAGAAACTTTCATAGATGAATGGGGGTCAGCCCACCAAGTTAGCAGATCAGAAAGGCGTGAACCAGACCAATGAACAAACTAAAACATCGATCAGCCTGCGAAAATTATGAAATAGAGAACTCATGAACTTCATTTTTGAGCTTCAGCAGCACTTATGCTTAAGGAACAAATATTTCAATAGTTTGATTCATTGCCTCTTTTTTCATTTCAACCCACGTTCATTTAGTTGGGCGTGAAGGCGAACGACGATGCCTGGGCCTCCCGATGTCCCCTTGTTGTCATCAGTTTTCTCTGGAGAGCGCGCAACGACCGAGAGAGTACCCAGCGTCCAATACTGAAAGGACCCAAATTATAAAAAATCACTAAGTTCTCGGAAAGCAAATCTTAAAGAGATAATATATTTGTGTTATTGCAGCAACTATTCGATTATCACATCCAGCTGACGAACATGGGCCAGCTCCAGTCTCATCCTTTTCCCCATTGCGAAGCTGCCGAGAGTCTTCATGCGCCTCGATGGACGTGAAACACACACTATAGTGTCATGCGCGCATGCGCGGCGCTAGCTAATGCAACTGCGTGCAGCATTCCATGGAAACAAAGCTTGTCTCCGGCAGTATATAATTTTGGTCGTAGTGATTAGTTGCATGACCAGTGTAACTATTGGATGCCACGAGTATACATTAGTGATGACGTCAGGCAAGCTCGTTGTACAGCGGTGAAGTGCATTGAACTATGCAAATTTGTTGTGCTCTGCAAGGACAGTGAATGGCGTAAGCGTCATGTTTGCTATTGCTTGAAAATTTTAGTCCCCAGCATATTGCTGAACTTAGTTACGCTAAAGATGAAATGCAGACCATATTAATAAAACTATGCAAGTGTGGGACGTCGTTCTCAGTTAATTAACAAATGCTCCCGGCAGTTGGGACTGAGCGCCGCAGGATTCAGTGACGTGATGTCGTTAAGAAATAGCCTAGTAATAATAAATAGCCGCATGATATGCACATTGAGCTCGGAGTGTACGCCCCTCGACGGCAGCAGCCGTGAGCAGCACGCCAGGCACGACCTGCTGCGGGCGGCTGGCGCGCAGTCAGAGGGGGCTGATTTGGGTCAGGTCGGCCGGCCGGGGTCCGAACGCTGCGTGTGCGCCGCGGCACAGTTATTTGTTTGTCGCTGTTGGCGCCGTAACGGCGCGGCGTAACGGTGCGGCGTCACGGCAGCGGCGTCACGCCACCAGTGTGACGGGGACTGCGGCGTCACGGCAGCAAAGTCAACGCCACCGTCACCCGACGGCCGCTCGTTCTCAGGCGTAGCGTCGCACACTCCTTTGTGTGGCAATGCGCCATTTGTGCGCTCGAACTGTTGCTCATGTAGTCACTAGGTGGCGTAGAGTGTCACTCATCTATTCACTCAATGGTGTGGAGTGTCACTCATCTAGTCACTCAACAGCGTGGAGTGTCACTGATCTAGTCACTCGATGGCGTGGAGAGTCACTCATCTAGTCACTGGATGGCGCCGAGTGTCATTCATCCAGTCACTTGATGGTGTGGAGTGTCACTCATCTAGTCACTCGCAGGTGTGGGGTGTCACTCATCTAGTCATTCAATAGCGTGGAGTCTCACTCATCTAGTCACTTGCAGGTGCGCAGTCTCACTCATCTAGTCACTCGATGGCGTGGCGAGTCTCTCATCTAGTCACTTGACGGGGGTGGAGGGTCATTCATCTAGTCCCTCGATGGCGTGGAGTGTCACTCATCTAATCGTTCGCTGGCGTGGAGCATCACTTATCTATTCGCTCAATAGCGTGGAGTCTCACTCATCTAGTCGCTCGCCGGCGTGGAGCGTCACTGCCTGACTCGTACGACTTGCCGTTCCGTCACTCACCCGTCACTCACCCGTCACTCACCCGTCACTCACCCGTAGCGGAAGGGTCGCGGCGATCGCAATCACGTGAAGAAAGGTTTTATGGAAGTGCAAGCGATATCAATGAAAGTATTCGCAAGTCAGACTCGCATAACGTTAAGTGGTTCTACTAAAATGCGGTAAAGAACCCATTAATTTTGCAACTCACAGCAGCACGTTGCAGAAGTATAGTCGCCGTTCCAGTTGTTCAAGAAAAGCGATGGAAATGTGGTCGACGGGTGTTAGTTTGGCAACAAAAGAGAGAGGAAGTCCTCAGGCAACATGCGTGTTGCAAATGTCGTCGTCACGTTCATCACACTACGCCCCTGTGCGTCACGTCATGTCACGTGTACCAAATAGCTGCCATTAGTAGGTGACACGATATGCGTCGCTGATTTATTGACCCTTGCGCGATGCAATAGGGCTCGTTTGTTTTGTTGCCGTAAAAAAGTGAACGAGCTATCTGCAGCAGCCGTTAATGAGCTTTGAATTTACATCCTCTCGGCCAAACGATGAGCACTCTGCTTG